CTGCAGATGAGGGGATAAAATAGTGCCGTAACGAGCTCCCTGATGCTCTTATCAACCGTTTTGTGGAGCATTAAAATTTTCACTGGCCACTGACCCATCGATGGTACTGGCCCGCTGGACGGAGTTTGAAACCAAGGCAGCACTTCAAGCATTCAGCATCACCCACCACCAGCCAGCTTACCCAATTTGACAGCATACGTAGTTTTTGTTGTTGTTGTTGGAGGCGGTTCACCACCGCTCCCATCAGCTTTAGCCAAGAGGAGGAGCGACGCACTGACGACTGTGAGCAGGCGGAGAGCAGGCATTGTTGCCGTACGTAACTTGGAGGCAACGATATGCGCACTTGAAACCAATATGTTGAAGCCTTCCACCACAAACAATCTCAAAATTACTTATGAAGAAGGGATGGTTGGCAGAATGAAGTGCGACGGTGGCTTGATTCGTTTTCATTGGCTCAGACGTGGTCAACGCGCGGGTGCACGGGAGGCGTGTCTTGCCGGGCAGGCCAAGAGGGAAACCGGGTTTGGCAGCTTGTNCAACGCGCGGGTGCACGGGAGGCGTGTCTTGCCGGGCAGGCCAAGAGGGAAACCGGGTTTGGCAGCTTGTTCATCGTCGCAAGCAGTGGCAGTAAAACTGCAACTCGTTTTATATTTTAGATAATGACATTTTAATTGGTTGGGCAAGGCGATTTGCAACGTAGCTTGAGGCAGACACTCTGTTAACAGTTGGCTATGCCGAGCAGTTCTGCGCCTACCAGGCCGCCAGAGGCCTTGCCTTCAAGGCGTGTGGGCGTGCTCGTAAAATGTTTGACCCAACCATTAACTCAACAAGCGACGGCTAAATAATCATACTGTCGCCATCCTTGCATCGATCGACAGGGACAAGGGAAAGCCTCCAGCACGTGCCGAGCAGCGCATGACTCGACCGCAACGTACGCGAGCAAACGAAGGCTTTCATCGTAGCTGATGCTGCAGAATCAGTTCTCCGTCTTCCCACAGGCTTAGCCTATGCATCACAGGAGTCAAAACGCCTAGGATAGAAAAACTGCCTGANCTCCGTCTTCCCACAGGCTTAGCCTATGCATCACAGGAGTCAAAACGCCTAGGATAGAAAAACTGCCTGAGGGCAGCTGCCCTGCCCTGCCCGTTGTTTGATGGGCACAGTGGCGGACGGGCCTGGGGCTGATGGTGCGGAGGAGAAGCACCAGGTTCTATCACGAGTTGCAGCACACACTGCTCCAATTCGTGATGTAAGCTAAACCCACATTCACTCATACCCAACCCTCCTGTCGATGCATGCTCACTGTACATAATTGCCAAGCCGTTCGTTGGCCCTTAATAACTACTTCATAGCATTGCTCTCTCACAACGCTGCCGCAACGCCAAGCAATGCTGCGGCAAGGCCGAGCAAACTGGGCAAGACAGCCGAGGCAGATCCTTCGAAGGCGGTGACGATCTGCCCCCACTGCTCCTCTCTGCAGAACGCACACCGAAAAAACAAAGAACTGCGGTGCAGAGGACGCCTAAGGAGCATGGCGGAGATGCTGACTTCAAAAGGCTTACGTGAAAGGAGGGTTGTCACTGTTCGCCGGAAGAACGTCAGGNGGCGGAGATGCTGACTTCAAAAGGCTTACGTGAAAGGAGGGTTGTCACTGTTCGCCGGAAGAACGTCAGGCGTCGTCATGCAAATCAAAGCAGAGCCTTCCTTTGTTTCTTCAGTTAGTGGGTCCTCCCCTTCCTCTTCCTCACCCATTTCCGTTAACAGGCCCGCTGAAACAGTCGCGATCTTTCTAGTGCAGGTGACGACTCGGCAGTCGGCGGTAGCATCGGCTGAAGGGTTGTACATGGCCACGAAAGAGATGTTGTCCCGGCTGGTATACAACTCCTCAGCATCTTTGTTCGGTGGAGGCAATCCATTGAAGTTGCTGTAGGCATTCTTCCACTTTTCTACTACGGCAGTGCAACTAAGGCTAGCGGCATCAACGACCTGGAACGCGTATGTGCCGCTCATGAATTTTTTTCCAGCTTCTGCCTCGGTGCTCTTGCCTGCTGCTTCTTGCTGAGGACACCAAGACAACGAGGGACTGCTGTGCTTATTCCAACGCCGCAGCGTGTACATCCTACGGAGAACACGGCCAAAGAGTTAACTAACTTACTGGTATCAAGACGTCGCAAACGGGCTTCCACACCCATTCTGCATAGGTGGCGGAATCTTCCTCTCCTTTGTCAGGCAGTCTTTTGTCCTTTGTCTCCGCTTGAGGTATGACGAAATCATTCAAGCCAGCCTTCTTACGAGCATTGTTGATCTCGGAGAGGCATGTGCCATCATCTCCTGAAGGGATAGGCATAAAATAGTTCGATAAAGAGCGCCTTGATTTACTTAGAAACCGTATTCTGAGACATCAAGATTTACACTGACCGCTGACCAAGTCGACGGTAGTGGCCTCCCACACGGAGTTTGCAACAAGTGCAGCACTTCAAGCATTTAACATCACCCGAGGCCAGCCAACGTACCCAATTCGACAGCGTATGTGGTTTTTTTGGTTGTTTGTGGTGGTTGAGGCGGTTCCCCACTGCTGCCATCAACTTTAGCCAGGAGCAGGAGCGAGGCACTGACGACCGTGAGC